TTTTTTTGTTTATCATGCTTTTGTTTCTTTTTTTATCAATTATTTTTTATTTCTTTTGATTATATTTCATGCTTAAATATTTATGTTTTTATTAATTTTTGTTTTATTTATTTCTATTTTCAGTTATTGTGGTTTTTCTCTGAAAAACTTCACCTTGTTGGAGCGTTATAATTAGGTTTGTATTTATTTTATATGTATTTTTTTAAATGGTGGTGGATCATACAGGGCTTACGTTTTTCCCTTAGTAAAGCCCAACCAGGTAATAAATTTATAATTATTTTGCTTTTAAAATTATAGATTAGCCAGAGTATTTTTTTCCAAAGAGTAATTTCTTAGGTAAAGCTATTATTGTATAGTTATGTGAAATAACTTATGGTACTAAAAATTTACTGTTGTGGTAATTAAGCATTTGTTGGTGACGGTCGGTTGTCAAATAACAGTTCGGAACTTTTCCAAATGGGTTTTAGCTGTGATTTCTCGAGACTTTCTCTGGTCCGCTTATTTCATTCTTTCTTTAATATATATATATATATTGACAGTTTAAACTATTTGATTTTGGAGAATTTGTACTGTTACTATATCATCAAAAAGTCTGGTCTTTTCATTTAGATTAGGCAATTAAAAGCACGTAAAGTGAATTATGTTGGATTCCATGGGAAAACAAAATATTGTCGAAATTCACTGCAATGTTGCAGTTTTCTTTTTTCTATTTTCAAGTTTCAAGTTTCGTGCTAATTGAATATTAAAATCAGGACCTTCCTTAGGGTTATTGGTGAATTATTTAAAAAATGTCTGAATATTTTATTTTATGCCTGCAGAAGAAAAAGCTCGTGTCTAAAAATGAAATATTAAAAACGTTCAACTTTGACCGGTAATATCTCTCCTTTTTAGTTTTAGATCTGGGTTTGCAGACTTTTAAAATTTATATTCGAAAATGTGTCCATTCTAAGACATTTTTACCCCGTGATCTATTTTTTGCCAATTAGAATGTTTTAAATAGTCTGTACAAGCAAATTTTTCAGTTTTGTATGGTTTGTTGCTTTATTTTCTTCTTGGGGTTTGTTGGATGGTGAACCTGTAGTTTGGTTATTTCCGAGCATTATGCCTCGTCTATCTTTGCTTTTTTGGTAAGCAAAGTTGAGCGGACCAAAATTATCGAAAAAGTTTAAATACATTCATTGTTTAGAGAGTATCGTCGTCAAATGTGCAATTTTATTTTCTTCCTCAAATTCCATTTTGTTTTGCGATATTGAGAAAATTTGCTGTTAGTTTTAGCCTATATAAAGAGAGGTGACGTTGGACATATGTTAAATCATCTCAGATACAAAACGTGTTTCACTGTGTGTTTGTGGTAAAAACGTCTATAAAATGAAATGGTCTTGGTTTAAGTTTGTGAAGTGTTTTCTGTTTATCACAGAGAGCTATTGCATAAATCACAATCACATAAATTAGCCAAATAATTGATGCATTTTTTTAGGTAAGTACCTCACACATAGATAGTTTTATGCCTAATCTCAACGTTCCATATTAGGTAAAAACAAATCTTTGCTGATGTTGCTCAAGGCTCGGTTCTTGGATCTACTCTTTTTAACTTATTTGTAGGAGATATGTGGAAAAAGTCGAAGTTGAACTTGCTTTTTTTGCAGATTCCATGGCATTTATTACGACTTCACACTGACACTATAGCCAAAGAACTAAGTGAAGCAGCTGAATATCCTTTAATTACTTTAATAAATGGAAAATTCGTCCAAATAAAAAAATTCATACTGCCCACAGGAATTCTGGCATTAAGCATTTCTTCCTGATTGTGTGCTGGCTTCTATGAACTGAAAACCTCAAATACTTAAGGTCCAAGAAGTTAACTTCATTCGAAGTCCATTCCTCCTTAAAAAACCCTCTAAATTAAGCCTGAACAATAAAAAAGTTGTTTTCATCCTTTACATAAGACCAATTTTTACGGACGCTGCCCCCGTATAGTCGAACACCTGTGCCAAAAATTAATTGTAAATTAATGCAGACAGCCCAAAATACTGCTCTAAGGTTGGTAGCCAAACCATAAATTTTGCCTCCAAGTGCAATAATAGTCAAATAGATTAATAAATTAAACGCATCAAAAGATTTAAACTATAAGAAATAACAACATTTAAGCACATACTAACGCCAAAAGGCCAAATTTAATTACTATCTTTACGTAATTACTTTACTAATAAAAACTGTTATATAATAAAACCACCAAAATTTATTAAATGAAATCCATAAAACAAAAAAAGAGTTGTACTTATTGCTCAGGACATCTTTCGGAGGGGAAATGCTTCATTCGCGAGCAACTTTCCACTTAGATGGCAATTAAAATGGGCAACTTTTGGACAGTGGGCGAGGTGGACCATTTGGAGATAAGTATTCGCCAAGCTCTCAGCAGTTAACAAGCGAATGTGATTTCATTAAATTGCCGTCGTCTAGTTGCCAACGACATCTAGCGCACTTGGTTTTAATTGGGGTGCTGAGACCCCTCACCAACGGCCCTGTCATTACCGTTCTCCTAAGCTATCCAACTTATTACCAACCCGTCTTTCTGACTCGGTGAATTCTCCCATCTACCCGTACTCATCAGGATTAATTTGGTCAAGTTTTATTTCAGGAAGTTTTGAGGAATTTTAATAATAGCCCTTGGGATACTTTTATGACACGACCAACAACCATTTTATGCTCTTTTTTATCTCGTTTCTTTTTAGCTTTACCAGATGTAGCCCCAAATTGCTTGCTTAACATTGTATATCTTTAAGGCCAAATTTTCCCCCAAAATATTATGAATCAAATTTTAAAAAAATAACAGCACTAAATTTACTCGACCTCTCATCTATGTACCATTCCAAATTTATCAGTTCTGTAAACGGATTTATTATACTTAACATCATAGAATTCAAGCTAATTGATTTACAAAACATTTTAAGAAAAAAGGAAAGAAATGAGAGGTCAAATAAATTTGGATAATTTTGGTATGCCATTTGGTGACGGATAAACGTACTATAGAGGGTACCTTTACACTTAAAATATCGATATCTCGTCCCGTTTCAAATCTCACTGATTTTTCGTCCGATGAAATAGTTCAAGAACTCGAATCTATTGAAGGAAAAGTTCGGTAGTCCGAAAGATTTACCTACGTGGGTTCTGATTAGTGTTTCTATGAAAATTGTTACTAAACCTTGCACGCACATAACCAAAATTTACGCTGACTGCGTAATCAGACCAAAATCTTACCAACACCGAAACTCGGTCCCGTTTTTTTCCCCATAGTTTGAGATGAAGGTCCCTTCCCACATTCCGTTATTTTACAGCACTTCATCTAAAATTTCATCTTTTTATCTTTTTGGCAGTCTTTACCACCAATATTCCTTTCCAAGGTTACCAACATTCATACTAAAATAACCCACCAAACTGTAAAGTGCCGTAAGGTGCAAAAGGTCTTTCTTCAACCAAGCCAATGAAAATTTATACAAACCTACATACTTGCTCTCTATGAAAGCAGTATGAAAACGCAAAAAGAGATATTTCTGAACATCCAGATACCTAAACGGGTTTAACACTCAAATACCTTTTCATGTGAGAACCACCTCTGGGCCATGTAACTGTCATGTAGGGTGAACAGCTTGGCTGAATTTTATAAGGAGGCATGACTCTCTTCCATTTTGTCAACATATTTTAAGACAAAAACAAAACATAAATTTCCATGTTTTAACTACTTTTAAAAGGAGAACTGTGAAACCAGTATATGTATATGCCTACAAGATAACGTTTCTAATATGGGAGGACAATTTTCTTACCAGGGTATTTTCCTACCAGACACATGCTTTGGCTTGCAACTGACACCCTTTAAAAATAAAACAGTGGATTTTTAACCACATACAGGTTTTATGATTTTCATATCAAGATCCTTACTGCCAAGGCACGACACCTTTCTATGTGGTACACGATGAAGAACCTTTCTCTATATGCAAGAGTCATATTCAGCTATGACATAATATTACATCCGTATGTATGTGGCCATTCGGAGTCGTGTTGGGGAAACGAAACATTTTCTGCGGATAATATTATCTGGGTTTGGTTCACAAACTTTCTCATTTTATTTGTATGCGTGTGTTTTTTGTCATTCAACTTCAAGTTGAGACATTTTTAATTGTTACAATGCATGGACGGCTATAGTGTTGAATGGCCCTCTTTATCATAAACAACCCGAAATGTTTAAATTGCAACATTTTAACACTTGCGAAATTTTAAAGCTACACTTTTTACAACTAACTACCTTAAAATAAACAGAATACAGACAAACAGAAACAAACACAGAATGTATTAAATAGATATATAAAAGTATTGTAGCTGTTGAAAAACTATTCACCAACCAGCTGAAAGGGTGGTCGGAACGAGTTAAAATAAACTTTTTAACTTTTTCTAACACTTAGCGGAATGGCGTCCTCTTTTAAACGGAAGGATTTGGTATAAAGCCTCTTTGCATGAAGTTTACATGCAAACAATGAAGTATTAAAGTTGCATAAATGATGGTACTGGGGTGGAACGCCTTTCACGTGACGGCATAAGGCGGTTGTGTCTCTTGTGTATCGCGTGCCCGAAATATTGCATATTCTCCTGTAGATCAATCTCTCACTCCTACCAGGCCTAGAAGAAGCATTCCTGTGAAATCCCTGCGAGGTGAACTTTGCTAGGAACCGTCACATCCCTCCTTTCCTGATGACATTATGCTAAAAGCACCTGCGCCCCTTCACAAACTCTATTATTACATTATACCTGGTGCATCTAACAAAGTGCTCCTTTTCACTTGTTATATCGCCAGAATTCCATTTCTCTCGACAACAAAAGGGATTGAAAAAAAAGGAAAGGCGGAGCCGTTTTTTACTCCCCCGAGTTATTTTTACTTTGTTGACACAACATCGGGTTAGAAAAAATAAAAAATAATAATTCACTTTTATTTTTATTTTTCGTTTCAGCTGAACCAGCAAAATCCTTCGACAGAGCCGGAGCTCAACGGGTTCATCGAAAACAGCCCGATTTACGTGACGTCTTATCCTCCTACGACTGGAGCTTCCGTCACACCGAGTCCAGGCTCGACCAAAGGGAAAAAAGGTCTCAGCAACGGGCACGCGGTCACCGAAGACCTGCCCGAAGAGATAGAGCTGAAGCAAGAGCTATCGACGGCCGAGGAGGACAACGAAGCGAAAAAGGAACAGTCCAACAACACCAACAACAATCAACCACCTCAAACCCAACCGATACCTCAACCGCAACCAATCTCTCCACAGGTCCAAGTACAAGAGGAATTAGTGGCCGTGAGGCGTGCCAGCTCGCCGTTCTCAAACGGAAGGACTGAAGTTTTAATCGGCCAAGATGTGCCATCGACCGGCGAGAAGCTGAGAACGACTGCACTCATAGAAAATAAGAACTTGACTACACCTCCCGACTGCATCACCAGGTATGTAAACAGCCAATATTTCTCAATAGATGGTAATTTGCATAATTAAAAACACATCGAACACCCCACAAACTTATTTTTTATATCGTTAAAGTTTTAAAAAATTGACCTATGAAATTAATAATAATTCGTGGTGATTAATGACCGTTAGTCGATGATTATTCAGAAATCGTGAGATGCGGTCTGGTGTGATGTAGGTTTCAGAAAAACATTTTCTTTATCGTGCCTACGTTTCTATCTTTATTGAGAACATCTTCAGGGCTCAAAGTGTTTGTTTTCTGCGTAAGTGTGCCATTCTTGCGCGTCGTGCTGAGAGTGCCAGTGTTGGCGATAAAGAAAATGTTTTTCTGAAACCTACATCACACCAGACCGCATCTCACGATTTCTGAATAAAAATAATAATGCTGGTCATAGGCAATTTTAACAGTTTGGGAAAGATGAAGAATTGCTATTGACCATATTTCGCTTTTTTTAGCCTTTACATATTTTACCAATAAATCGGACAATTGTTCTAAGAGAGAAGGTAAAAGTTTGATAAACCAATTAACTCGTATGCTATGTTATTAGGCATAATAAATCCGTTTGTAGTACGAAAAAAATTGGAGTGGTATAGAAATGATAGGTCAAATAAATTTGAATCATGGGTAAGTCATGGGGTGGTGGATAAACGTACTACATAGGATACATTTAACCTTAATAAACTTAACCTTAATTTAACGATAATCTCTTTGAGACCTCCTTGCCCCTTAATCTCTCATATTCCCCATTCAAGATTTTCTCAAAAATAAATTAAATAATTGGAACATAAAGGTGAATGAAATTAATTCTTAAGGTAGAGCTTTCATTGACCTACTAGAACATACTAGTCTACCTTTGTTTACTCAAATATGCTCTCAAGGAGCCAGTTGAAGCTGCATACTAGAAAATAGATAAATATATAATATATTATAATAAAATATAATATAAATCATATATAATATATGATAATAAAATATAATATAGAAATTGTCTACCAACCAATCTTTGTGAGCTTATCTGAGAAGTGACACTGACCACACTTTTAGTTTTTAGTTTTTTCTCGCCAATATTTTACCTAAAAACCGGTACATTACACACATACAAAAGAAGATAGTAAAGTTTGTCTTAAGAATTTGTAGTTTGGTCGTCTCTGATCATTGTGATCTACCTATCCTCGCTGTTTTGGTCTGTCAATGGTATCTGGACAATTCGCATTGTTCGGTCGTGGATGTGCCTGTGCGTTTCCCGTAAATCCATGCTTATAACAAACTTAAGAAAAATTTCACAATTAAGTTAATATTTTCCAGTAACGTTCAGACAAGTTATTGTGAATCTGGATCCTTAAAAGTTAAGTAAAAATCGCTACTGAACTTGATCTTGATGATCAGTTCTAGGCTTCCATTAAATATCCATTTTCATGGATGTTAAATCCATTAGTATAATGTTTAATGGAAGTTTAACTTTATACTAGCTCATCCCTAATCGGCTATCGTTAAGGCATAATAATTGCTTATGGCCTCAGCGAAAACAATCAGCGATTTAATCGGCGAACACCACCATCTAAACGGCAATCTCGCAAGAAATGGCGTATCTTTTAATTTAAGAAATGTATCGACAAATTCGCGTGCGGAGTTTTCCACTGGCCGAATGGTCCATTCCCGTAATTAATACGAGTAATAAACCTCCCTTGGCGTAGTACTCGTGGGTCGGAGCTAATCAAGTCAAGGCGAGGTGTGAGTGGATTACATCGGTTAATCCTAAGCGCCCGGTTTAGCACCGACTCCCTTCAAAGAAGGGGTTTTACAAGAAAAACTATGATCTTATTTACTGAGTAATCGTGTCGTTTTATCATTTGGACAAGAAAAACTACTGTCCAAACTTTATCTGCAAGATATTTATTTATCTGGTTAGTCTTGTTTTTTTTTTCTATTTTGAATTAACGTTAAACATTCTCAATTCCCTTGGGCTTTGAATAAATCTGAATATTGTGGAGGTGTAACCCATTAACTATAACACTTAAGAAAATTAAGCGATATAAAACGCCTCTTTCAATGTAAAAATAATACCGAAAACATGTCTAAAAATCCAATTAAACATTACATGTGTAGTATTTAGCGACCGTTAAATAATAATTACTTAGAGATCCTGAGATGCGTTCTGGTGTGATGTAGGTATAGAAAAAAAATCTTTATCGTGCCAACGTTTCGATCTTTATTGAGTTCATTTTCAGTGCCTCGGATTTATAAACATAGTTTAAGTTATACCAATACATGTAAGATGAGAACAGAATTTATATAATGATGTACACAATATAGAAATTTTAGTTTTAATCAATCAGTTTGATGTGTGGAGTGTTTTATACGTTGTATTATATTATATGAAAACCTATGTAGCACACAAAACATATAATACAACGTATAAAACAATCATTAAACTCCCCAACAATTTATATCTCCTTTCCCTTATAATCCTGTCTATAATAGTCCTCAAAGGCTAACCAGACCCGAACGACAAACCACTACCGCTTCTATTTCTATCCGTACTTCCTTCCCCACTCCTTCAAAATAAAAAAATATTTAAACAAAAAAACCAATAATATCTCACTAACACTATCAACAGAAGACACAACAGTGACACTTCTACACAGAAAACATACACTTTTAGTGAGTACAAATAATTTGATTAAAACTATCTTAACCAAGACCTTACATAAAAAGAATAATTAATTGGAAGAAGTAACTTGGTGAATTCACCACTAAAACATAAATGGATTTAAACTTCTTAAAAAGTTCTATATTTTGTATAAATTCATATTAATATCTTATATGTATTTGTATAATTTAAACATTGTATGGTATAATTCAAACAAGTGCAAATCGTACGACGAACAATTCACTGGGGAATACAAACTCAGTTAGACTGTAGATTTCGAAATGGTCATTTTGATTGATAACATTAAATTCTATTCAGATTAAATCGGTACCACATAAACACAATATAAATCCTTTGTACAATTTGCTTCCTTAGAACTTTATCTCTCTATAATATTAAAAAAGTTCTGGCTGAAGACTAAGAGAAAGAAGGACCTATACGATTTTTTTTCCTTTATTTAGAAGGTATTTCAACTACGAGGTTATATAAACCCTCGGGGTGCCGGTGTTTTTTTGAAAAAAGCCTATTTGTAAATATGTCGGATTCGAATGCAGGGCCGCTGGATTCGAACCCGGGGCCTTTACCTTACAGTAATGAGCGCCATGTCAACGCCTAAACCGTTGTGGCCACCGATTAGGCCTATAGGATTTTAATGGTGTTGAAATAGAAGCAAATAGGGGAGGGTAAACGCAAAGTTTTTATTAGATTTTTCATTTCTCTCACTATTTTTACAGTTTTAACTTCAAAAAATCGGGTCATATACATTGCTGGAAAGACGGCCGTTTTCTACAAAATAAACGTAATTTGAAATTTGTAAACAATTGTTATCAGTATTTATTTTAATCTACTTATTTTGTTTTTTCTTTGGATTAAAATTGTGAAAGATTTTCCGCGAGGACTGTATCTTTTTTTACTTAGTTTTAAACAGCTATTTAACACCATTTGCTTTTATCAGACTGAAAACATGACCAAATCAAATTTCAACTGTCCCATTTCGCGACTAAATTTAAGCTGTTTTAATGAAATGGGCACAAAAAATACAACATTCTACTTATCCGGAGGAAGCAATAGCAGCGGGGATGTACGAATTGGAAAATTATATGTTTGAAATGATGAGCGATTCTGCCTCAATAACGATGTCAAATATATTGAGTCATTTCTTTATTTATTTAATAATGAGTGGAGAATTAGATGCAACGAGGTTTGGGAACAATATAAAGACGAATTAAGCGATGAAGCTACTCCACTGTCGATTTAGTCGAGATCTGATTGAAAACTAAGGAATGGCAATGAAACAATATTCCCTTCCTGAAAAGATTGATGACTTGAAATTTAAGCATTAAATCGAGGTATGACAGTCTACCTCAGTTTAAGTAATAAATTATCCTTATTTTTTTAAAAAGCTACTTATTTTTATTCTAAATATATATTTAACTACACACATTTGTATAGTTTATAATTTAAAAAGACTCAAAAATTAATATATATTACATATATATTAATTTATATTATAATATATATTATAAAACACTAAGTGTTGATTTTCTGTTTGAAAATCTTGAAATTTGTAAACAATCCAATAGATTGTTCTTCCTGTTGCCGTTGCTTTTTCTATTTTATTTATATGTAAAAATAAAAAACATTAATTAATTAATTAATTCTATAAACATTAAACGGTGGTAATGGCGGTAATTTACTCTTTTACGAAAAATTTGTTGTTGAAAAAGGGGTTGAAGGTATTAAAGTGAATACACTGATGTATCGGAAATACAATTTGTTGTTTTGATCTTTTATGAGTTGTGCATCAGGATACCACACCATTATGTCCTTTGTTTCTGACAGAACGGGCCATTTTCCTCAAAGATTCGGGTCGTTTGTCGTGAAATCTCTTGACACGAGTTTGTTTTTAAAAGGAAAAAACTACTCTCCCGGTTTTATTGTCCAGAAGTGGGTTGAAAGTGGTTAGAACGCTTTGGAAAAGTTGAACGCTAATGGTACAACAGGTATGTAATGGAAGTTGCCTGTGGGAGCGTTCTCCAGCCAGAGCTAAATGGTCCTAAGAATGTCCCCCGAACTGAAAATTGACTTAATGCTCATAAAAATGTTACCGATTTATAGGAAGTAGTCGCTCAAATAATAATACAATATGGAATTAGTCAATAGGTGGTTTGTGCCATCTCTTGAAAAAGCCGTCTGGGTTTTCGTGAAAAGGGACTTTGCGAATTGAGTAATCTCTCTGAAACAGCCCGGGTAGGTTTGAATTAAATATTCACCTGGATCTACCTTTGAGTCGGTTTTGTCCGCGTGGATGTGGAAATCGGCTTTTACCA